AAATTAATACAGACAAAAATACATTTTTTCATTTCATTGAAACGGACTTATTAGTAACTCAATTATTGAGAAATATCGAACGTTTCTACGATAGGTTAGAATTCTCATTAAATTTCAAAAAGTTTGAAGATGTGGAACTTGTAATAAATTTGTTCGAACACGCAAAATATTTGCTAAATACTACAAGATTGAAATTAATTTTGTAACTTTCGAAAACAAAAATAATAATTATAATCGAAGAGAAATTTTGAATTATTGAGATAAACAACCGTATGAGATTGTCCTGCTTTCTTCTACACTCCATAGTACATACTTTCAAAAAATTTCACATAATATTCGTCAAACTCAAATTATATATCTTTAATTCGCACCCCATATGAAGATTAGAGCAGAGATAAGGAAGATATAGATTAGAGATGTGTTGCGATTTCGCTGTCAGAGATTTTGTCGCCGCTACTTTCCTGTCGCTGGAGCGAACCGCTCCGGTTCTTTCAAAATCACTGCGACTTTTTGAAGCTGGGTTTGATTTAGGCACGTTTTCATTCAGGCACTATTGCTAAAAATAAATGTCGCATCGCATATTTATCTGATGTGAACTGGAACTGCGATCGAAACGAAAACTATTATATGCTTCTAATCGCAGTCGCTGAAATTTGTATAAAACAAATAGGACATCTACAATAGGGCGGCGCAAAAAAACGACTATTTTTTTTGAGTCTTGTGCGAAAATATGGTAAAAGATCGATCCCCTCCAAAAGGCAGTTAAAAAAAATTTTTATGGTTCGCTCAAGATTTTTAAAAATTTTAAAATTAGCCAAAATTGGATTGTTTTTTCAATTTTTTTTGCTCATGACGGTAGAATTTTGTGCCTTAAAAAGAAGAAATCTCAAATTTTTAGCTCAAAATATTAAATTGAAATTAATTCTTGATATTAAAATTTAATGGTCGCTCAAAAACATCAGAAGCAATAATTTTGTACATAAAAAAAAATCTTGAGCGACCTTTAAAAAATATTTTTTGAGCTGCTCTTTGGAGGGGGGTCTTAAAACATGATAAATTAACATATTTTCGTATAAGACTCAAAAAATAGTCTGTTTTTTGCGCCACCTTAATCTACAATCCTTAAAAATGTATCTTAGCGGCAATAAGTAATCGACCGTTTTTTAATCTTCAAACTTTATTTTATAAAAATAAAATTTATTATTATCTTTTTAAAAAAATATTTCACAAAAGAGCATAGATTGCCAAAAAATTACGGTCATTAAAAATGCTTCGAAGAAAATGCAACGATTTAAAAAAATAGCAGCTATTTTTTACCTGAGGACGTGACACAGGTCACGAGTCGCGATCTAGTTAACCGCTCCGAAAAGTCGCGGCGATTTGTCACTGCGACTTTTTCGGAGCAGTCGCTGTTTGTCGCAGCGACACGAAAACTTCGTCGCAACCCATCTCTAATATAGATAGGAAACGCTCATAAGAAGCCAATGCTCAACAACGTCCAGCTTTAACGCAGTTAACATCTGACCCACTATGTGGCGCTTTCATCGATATCAAACAACGTAGCGGGAAATTTAAAAACCTGATAATAAAGGTTATATAAATATCGACTGTAAATTTAAACAATGTAATTACGCTAAATTATTTATTAAAAAGAATACTACACTTACAGTCTATTAGTGATTAATTATTGTAAATCTATTCTTGATAAATATTTTTTTAATTTTTGATCGTTATTTGTAACATTACATTTTTGTTTTTATTTTCCAAACGAATGTCCAATGGTGTCTTATTTAAAAATCAATAATGGGAATTTTATTGTTCTAAAACAATAAATAATACATAAATACCTACTTTGTGACAAAAGTTGGTTCCTTTTTGTGTTACTTACATGACTGGTTAATTAAAGAACGCCACATTGAAGTTGTTAAATTTATTCATGTGACATGTGGTACTAATGCAATACATTCTCCGACTTATTGTAATATTACAAAATATAATTATTGTTCTCAAATTTCACACAAAAACAGCCACAACCATTTCCCTTAGTTCATGTACAGGATAACACAATCATGAACTCAAAATTTAAATTCAAGATTCTTCGATATACATAAAACTAACTGACATTTACATTTACAAACTGTCCACTGCTGTCCACGTCTACTGTTTGTCTCAGTGTTGCCAACCATGTGATTTATATCGTATTTATACGATTTTTTAACTCTCTGTACGATGTACAATTGCATCAGTGAGATCGTACGTAAAAATATGATCTTCACTTTTTTAGTAGTTTTATTTAAATATCCTGCAACAACTTCACAACATAAAACAATAAAAATCAAAACTACTTGCAACGATTCATAGGCCGTTTGTAATTTCTAAAGGCAGTCATTTTCGTTCTCACTTATCGTGACTTTGACCATCGTTATTTTGTACCAACACAAACTATCACGGCATAAGAAAAGCATACATGCAAAATTTCAATCACTTTCAAGTGACCGTCATTGATTACTTTGTGTTAATTTAAAGTTTCATATATTTTTAGTTAACATCTGAGACGCATAGATGACGTTATCATTGCCGCGGTCGTTGCGTTTCCTATCTTTATGTCCCTAATCTCTGGATTAGAGATAAGGAGGCGATTCGGCATACTCGAAATACGCTCCCAAAAAACGAACGCTAATTGAGCTTTTTTAATTCACCGCAATGGCGCTGGTGCTAGTACCACTATTCAAAATACATGGCTTCTCATGGAAATTTTACATAATTTTGTCAAAATAATAAAAATAAACTTGTTTATTGCCAAATAAAGCACAGAATTTACTGTTGCATTTATTTCTAAATAAGTCTCATACTCGTATGTTTTAATTGATAAATTATTTAATTTTATCTATATAAAATGCAATTTAGGTAGGTATGACCCAATTAGAAAAGATTTGTTAAATGGTGAAATTTGGTAAGTACAATTTTGTGTCTAAATTTATTTGAATTATACCTAAATATAGTTTTAAGAACAAAATAAAACACAGTTTTCTATTGTTATAATACAAGCATAAAGGGAGATTTTGGAATATACATGATATTGCCTCATCCTTTAATTTCGGGTTTCCCCTTTTTATTTTGCTAACAGTACCATCTCTAGAAAGTACTTTATCGAACCTATGAACGATATATATGTTGCCACTGTTCTAAGCGTTTAGGATCCTATAAAAAACATTTACAATGACAAAATTGGGGTTCAACAAAAAAATAACAGCAACTCTTTATCTAACATTAAAACTCCATTAAAAATACAAATTTTATTTTCTAGTAAGTTAAATTTAATGTATAATTATTGTTGTTTGTAAGTTAGAATCTATGACTGCAAAATTTTATTTTATAGAAACTTGTAATAAAATAAACTACACTCCGTGGTACGTGTTGTGACTAGTTTACAATAAATATTATATTTAGACATACATACATTATTTTACTTACATTAGAAGCTTTAAAAAGACATTGAACTGATTAATCCTTATATTTTCTTTGGGTTTACATCTGATTTGTATCCCATTTTACAATCTGGAACGAAGTAAATATTGCTTTGATGTTTTTTTGTCACTCAGGTACTTTTTTTCACATTATTTTGATTCTTTTCACCAATAGAAAATGAACGTCAGTGACGTTCGACCTGCCAACTATAGTCAATTTAGCGAACTTTGTAAAAAGACAGAAAGTTGAAATTTAAATATTGTCGATTCGCCTCCTATCTATAGTCTTCATAGTAAATACATAAACACTAAAGTTACAAGGACATATTTGAAAAACAGCTGACCTACTTCTATAACACAAAATTTGATGGCAGAGACTTGGTTGCGAGGGGTAAACCATTCTCGAAATACTGGTACGTTCTCACTCGAAATCACCGAAATCACTATCAAAAATTATAATCGAAATACAGTAGCTTGTGGATTAAAAGATAAGGGAATAGCCGTCAAAAAAGGTCACCGTAAAAAATTAAGGTGGTGTTTCAGCGAAATCACCGAAAAATAAAAATGTTTAGGTGATTTCCGAAATACTGGTACGTTTTTACCTTAGTGGTTTCCCACTAGCATGGTTGTCTCGTTTCTTCTTCAATTAGGCCATGGCAAATCGGTTTTTAATGCGATTAATCACGAATGCTGAACGGCTGGTTTGTGTTTTTTTTAATAATTAATCAGATATTTTGAAATTTAATTAACAGTTAAAAAAAATTAAAGTTAGGTGCATGCAGTTTAGTTAACTTTTTAACTAGAATAGATGTATTGTTCATCTAAAATGCAATGAACAAAACTAATTTACCTGGATCAGTTAAACATTCAATTTGGGACAACTCTGGTACTTTTCAGAACTTCTCATTTATCTAAAATTGTTTACTGTACCAAATTAAAAAATTAAATATTGCAGATAATTTTTTAACTGTTCCAGATAATAATTTTTAGATAAACTATTTAGCTAAAGGCAGTGTAGATTTTAGGAATTCATCTAAGGGCTTTGTGTCTTACCATAAACATTTTCCCATCCATATTATATTTTTGTGTAACTTTTGAAACTTCATGTTGTCCAATCTAAAAAATAAAAAAAAGTAAAGCTAAAAAATGTTCAGAACAAAAAATACGAGAAGTGTCCCAAGATTAACTGGTACTCTAGAAACTTACCTCTTGCAGAAAACACACCAATTCTGAATTGCTGAACGTACTTATATTTTTAATATTCATTTTAATGTTACTTGTACTACCTTGTTTGAAAAAAAAAATAAAATAAAAGAATCAGTGCAGAGAGTTACATATAAGATAAATATCCTAACCACATCCTTACTTTCGTATATAAATTATAAATACCAATTTTTATACCTGATAATGGTGACAAATAAAAAATAAATTAAATTAAATTTCTTGTATCATCTCAAAAAAAAAAATGGTAAAAATATAAAAGAAACGGAAACGAAATATAATTATCCAAAGAACCATTATTATAATAATTAGTACTTATACAAAAAATATATCGCTGGCGTCATTCTTTTGTGGGCTACGAGATTTTCTGTAACGATGCGTATGTGTAACAAGGTATTAGAATGACACCGGCGATATTTTATTTTACAAAATAAACTATTAGGTATTCCTAGGATTGTTGTTCTTGTTGTTCATTTGGTTTGTTCAAGTTATAGCTGGAAAAAATAGAAATCTCATTATTCACACTGAAACTGACACCCTAAAACAATTTTATATAGGCTTATAACTGGTTCTAAAACAACTAATCGAATAAGAATTGATCGAAAGCAAAAATGATGGAGAAGAATTATGATAGAAAAAAATACAGGGTGTACCAATAAAAACTCCCAGGTCGGATATTTTGGTAAGAAATAAGAGACATTTTAATTCTGTAAATGTCAGTTTTAGATATAAATTGATTTTAAATACATAGGTTAATAAAATTGCGCTTATGCCAGTTTTGCTGCGATTAATCGGCATACGCTCTATTAGAAGTATGTAGAAGTGAACTGATCAGAAGATTTGCCATGTGTATTAATGAAAATGTCAACAATTTCGGACACCTTATACCAAAAAATCTTAAGGTGATTACAATACAACAAGTTTTAGTTCCTTCCACTTTCCAAGAAAAAAAATTAAAGGGCTTTAAATTTTGAAATATCATAATGAAAATAAATGCATTCCTCAACAGCACTATTCTTAATATAATCCTTAAATTTAAGCTCTTAATCTCTCTTTAATGATTTTTAAAATTCGCCAAAATTAGTGGCTAAGACGCCTCGTTAAGTGCTACTTTCTGGTATAAACTGGTGTAAATCGTTGCAAGAAACGAATAATGACTCAGAGTGTACGATACAATCGTTATAGACGCGTTACACCAGAAAGCAGCACTAACGAGGCATTTTAGCCACTAATTTCGGCGAATTTTAAAAAATCATTAACAAGAGATTAAGATCTTAAATTTGGGGATTACATTAAGAATAGTGCTATTGAAGAATGCATTTATTTCTATTATATTTCAAAATTTAAAGCCCTTTGGCCCTTTGATTTTTTTTTTTAAACTGAACGGAATTAAAACTTTAAAATATATGCATATTTTAGATATTATTGCCTCATTTATTTTGGCAAAATTTTAATTTAAAAAAAAAATTACTTATTGAGATATGCTTGTCCGAAAATTATAAGGGGTGCAGTAATCAGCTCAATAAATTCTTAAAATATTGTTAAAACTATTTTCCTATTTCCCAGCTGTCATTATTTTTATTTAAAAAAAAATATAGTCACAATAGTCAAAGTAGTATTGTTACCAATAAAGTACAAAAATATGAGTTAGTACGATTTTAATTGTTTGGAAACAGCAATGTTTGGACAATACAGAGTGGGTCACTCAAAACAGTCTACTCTGTTATTTGGCAGTATTTATTGGGTTTTAAGAAAATGCTGAAACAGGTCGATTTTTATTCCAAAGGGAACACATTTTTACAATCTGTCATGTGTTAATCCCCCCCCCCTCTATTCCACTTTTCCCACTAAACATAGAAACTTACAAACACTTCCTGCAAGTTTATTTTGGTAAGTGTATGGAAAATGTATTATAAGTTTACAAATTTTTATTTAAAATCGGAAATTTTTAGTAAGTTTTTAAGAGAAAATTCATATTTTTAAACTTGAATCAATCTTATTTTGTAAAATAAAATTGGCAATTTTCTTTCAAAAATTCATTTTTGAAAATATCCAATTTAAAAATAACAATTTGTATAAATGGAATGATATTTTCAGAAGTGGTGTAGCTCAGTGCTACACTTTCGATGCAAAGGAAAAGACCTAATAACTCTCTATTAGTGTAGTGACTTTGACAGCTGACACATGCCCTTCGATGTGATGATATTTGGCTTATTTGGGTGATGTTCACCGACCTTAATATTAAACTGGATAGCTATATGACATGAACCCTGCTCCTAATTTCTAAGCCGATATATGGGTGAAAAAAAAACGGTCGGTGCGCATGACAATTTGGACGCCAGACTGTCAATTTCGAGCATTATACGTCACGTTTCCCACGGGCGTACTACGATAAGTTATATTATTTATTAATAACGCGCTATTTTAATAATTATTAATATTGGAACATTTGTTTCAGCTACGTATTAATCAAAAATCATTTTTAAGTGATTTTCTTAAATTAAAAGATGTCGTAGTTGAATGTATTATAAGTGTTAAATTTAATTTTGATGTTCCTTTTTAGTGCATTTCGATATGCACGTGTGGGTGCCACAGTGTCAAATATCACCTCGCTATGTGGCTTAATTTTGTGGATCGGATTTGTTTTTCTAGTTTAATATACAGTTCAGTGCTGTTATTTGGCAAGATACGATATGGAGACGATAGTTTTTAGTTTAATAAGAGAAGTAGAAAATACTTAATATGATGGAACTGAGAAGGACCAAAGAATGTAGAAAAACCTACTATTTTGCTTTTTTATTGTACCGCACTGCGGCTTACGGCAGATATTAAATTTTAAAAACTATGGAGAGTTTCAGAAGGCTGGTAGGTACCTATATATTTTATTTTTTATACCATAGGTATGTATAATATACATATAAGGTTCTTTCGTTCGCTGTTGGTGCAGTGGACCCAGTGTCAATTACACCATTTTATTTATTTTATTTCCTCCTTATTCCTTAAACACATGTCGAGTGTAAAACGCTCCTGCTAAATAGCTACTATAGCTAGTGGAGAAAATATCCACCAGTGGAGACACTACATCGCCAACAGGAAGGTTTTCAAGGTTTAGTGTATTTTACACCAGGGGGTCGATTCTCGACTTGTAGGAACCTTTTCCTATAGGAATTTGTGGCACTTTCCTATATGTAGGGAAATGTCATAAATTTTCTATGTATAGAAAAATGTCAAAAATTCCTATAGGAAAAAATTCCTACGAGTCGAGAATCGACCCCCAGTAGGATGAACGAAAGAAGCTATATTGAAATAAAATGCTTTTCCAAGGCCAAAAGTTGTTTTTAATAATTGTGATTGACCTTCTTTAAAACTAATTCATATTAATTTTTAGGTAAATTGGTTATGTAGGTTATACACCTACTGTAGATAGTTGCAATTAATCATGGTTTGAAAAAACATGTACTGACTACTTATGTTGTTCGCAAGAGGAAATTTTAAAATATCAAATTTAAAATTAAATAAAAGAAGTCCTTAAAAGTAATAAATTGAATTTAACATTAATATAAAAGATATAGTTAAAGTTTAAAATGTTTTTAGAGACTGTTCCGGTTCATTTTCTGGAATTAACTGGTGATTTTTTCCAAAATCAGTAATGGTTTGGTTCCATGAGGCTAGGATTCGCTTTCAAGAAGGAACAAATGACTTAAATAAAATATAATTCACTTTTTGATCGAAGTTATACCTAGTAAGTTTTCCAAGTTTCTTTAACCTATAAGAGGTGAATATTTTTAGTGCCTAATTTCTTCATTTTTAAAAAGTATATCATTTATGTTTCTATGTATATTTATGTTGTTTTTTTCTATTAAAGGTGTTTAGTTCGTATATATATTATTAAAGATACTTCAATTATAATAGATTTTTTTTAATTTTTTCATAATTAAAACTTTCTAGAAATTCCTGAAATATCAAGTGTCTGTTATATTTTAACTTATTTTAAACCTATGTAACTTTTGAACTAGTTGAGATAATAAAATGTAGTTTTCATTACTATTCTTTAATTTTTTTATTTTGTCAGACGAAAGTATACTTGCTTCAGGACTAAAGATACCTGGGACATGCCCCAGGATGAAATGCTAAAGAAGTACAGTTTTGTGAAAAAACCACAGAGCTGGGCTGAAAGAAAGAATGAAGCCAAGAATCCATCGCGTTTGCAACCGAAAGACGTGCTATTCAGTGGTATACGGACGGTGCCAAAACCATAGAAGGAACTGGAATAGGAGTGTATGGGTCGAAAACCAAGCACTACCAAAGCTTGGGAAAATACCCAAGCATATTCCAGGCGGATATTCACGCCATCTAGAAGTGTATCCAGTTTAACATCGAGAGAAACTATCATAGACAAGAGATTATCATCATGTCCGATAGTCAAGCAGCCATCAAAGCGTTGAGCTCTTACGTAATCAGCTCAAAAATGGTCTGGAGATGCCTAGAAAAATTGAAATGAGCTAGGCGAGAAAAATAGAGTTACTCTCACTTGGGTCCCGGGACATAACGGGTTACAGGGTAACGAAATTACAGATAATCTTGCAAGGAAAGGGGTTCAAACACCCTTTGTAGGACCTGAGCCGTTCTGCGGTATCAGCAGTAACATAATATTAGAAGAGATTAAAAAAGAATTGGGCAGTAGAAGAACCGATAATTGGAACAATCTCTTTGGGCTGAGACAGGCTAAGATACTTCTGAGTGAATATAACCAGAAAAGATCGGAAGCCTGCATCTGCCTGAGCAAGAACAGGCTACTTATTGTAACAAGGATCCTTACCGGGCATTGCCGACTAAAAGGACACCTAAGTAAACTGACAGTAGTAGATTCTGTTAGGAGGAGGACGAAACCTCCATTCACATCCTAACTGAATGTGTAGCACTCCAGAATCCAAGGGGAGGATATCAAATAGAAGAGGGAGATTTACCTAACTTGAAGCCACTTCGAATCCTACACTTCCTTGAGAAAATAAGATTGGTAGGGTCTTTATAGGCATTGCGATTTTTCCGTGCATTAGCGACAGAAGGGGCACAATAGATCTTTTAGGTCGCAGTGTATTAACACCCCATTCCCAACATAACATACCAAAATATCCGGCCTGGGAGTTTTTATTGGTACACTCTGTATTCATCGAAAATAGATTTGATTGAAATGGCAATTGATCGAAAAACCAATTAATCGTACATTAAATCACATAGTAGATCAATAAAAATTAACTAATAGAAAAATTAAAAATGGTTTTAAAATGGGCGGTATAATAGGTAAATACATATTTTTGGCGAATTAATCATACCTATGTTTTGATGATAAATATTCGCTTAATTTCTCTACACCCACATGTATACCCAGACAACACACCAAATCCCAGAGATATCCACAGAATATCTTTTGTGGATATCCAATATATCCACAGGATATCAGAAATATTCCGTGGGTCTAATATGGATATCCAAA